AACAACATTTCAAATAAATGTTAGTCATGGTTGACTATCGCAAATCTCTGTTACACAATTTCAAACTTTACAGAATTTCTCTTTCTAACTACTGGATGTGTATCTCTTTGCTGAGAATTACACTATATCAACTTTAAAGCTGATGCTACTGTATGTCAATGTGAAATTAGAAAAAAAATCAGTGAACTGCAGATTTAAAGGTGTCAATGAGGTCATAATGTTAATTGTAGACAGAACATTTATTTCAAATTGCTTAACACACATTATGCATTCTAGATTTTTTTTCTTGAAACTATTTCCTTCCTTTTTTTATTTCAGAGTTCGTACCCAGAACTATTAACCCTTCCTGTAGAGCCCTCCTGCTTCCTGTCTCAGAGCTACCCATCCTACAGCTCATTGATCCCTCTGCAACAGGTGAGTGTGTCAGTTCAAGGATTGCATCAAGTATCACTGTAGAAGATGGTGTCATTGTGATGATTGATCAAATGTGAGTAAGACATGTACCTTTATGATTTAAAGGTGTCACAAACAATGAGCAAAGATAGTGCCGCCTTATTTGTTGCAAAAGCAGAGGACAGTGAACATGACTCAGCCAACGCAAATGTAAGAAACTGGCATACATGATGGCTTTAAACGCAACATATTCCCTTTCATTGGTTTTGAGGTCATGATTTGTGTGCTTGTGTGTGTGTTTCCTCAGGTCTCACCCAGACTGTACCACAACAACGATCAGGTCCACAGCTCAAACTATTCTCTCCAAAGTCTCCCAACTCAATCACAGCAGGAGAGCAACACACAGCCCCTCTTCCCCAAGCCCATTTACTCATACAGGTAACACGCATAACATTTCAGTATCGTTTTTGGCCGACATTTGAATTCATGTCCAAAGCAACAATGTAAAAAAATGTTCTTTGTGACCGCAGCATCTTGATCTTCCTGGCTCTGAGGAACAGTAAAACAGGAAGCCTGCCGGTCAGTGAGATCTACAGCTTCATGACGGAACACTTCCCTTATTTCAAGGTGCCACCATTTTTCTATTTTACACAGTTTTATCTTTCAATTGTTGAATACAAAAAACCTGAAAAAATGTATCCGTTGTAAAAGCAGAACAGAAAAAAAGGGTTGTAAAGTACGAAACTAAAAACTCAAATATTTTGCTCCATAAGTTTCAATCATTGGGCTTAATCATGGGGTCCGTGACCGCTTGGGGTCATCATCAGAGACACTGCAGGGGAGGCGGCTACATTATTATTATTATTTGTTTTAAAAATATTTCTGAAATACACATTACACCAGTGCTTCTCAAACTTTTTCTGTCAGGCCCCCCCTTAGGAGAAAAAAAAAAAGACGGGCCCCCCCAACACAAATAGTCACATAATGGGCCAAGTTAACATTTCTTAAAATACATCAATATGAACGTGAGCATTCCTTTGCTAGAACAGTGATAATAAAACAATGCTCCATAGGTCTGTGTGAAAAAATAAATACAGTTGTGCAATCCCTTTGCGAGAACAATAAATTATAATACTTTGAGTTTCTTATCACAGCATCAGTGGCTGCAATGAGCCTGTGTTGCACTGCACATTTCTTCAAAACGGGGTTGCAGGCTCAGTGGACGTGCCAGATATTTATTTTGGGGTGCTGTAGGGTAGCTTGACGTTTCATAGAGGGTGCTCAAACATTTAGGGTTTCCCATTAATGTCCCGGTCGCTACAGTGGAATTTTCTACTGCAACAATCCCCACGTAAATACACAGAGTGACAGTTACAATGAAGGCTCGATAATCAGCTCACGGCATATAGGTGTAAGCAGGGGTAAAGTGCTATTTTTATAGGTAGTGTGTGGACCTAACATAGGGGGGTCCGGGGG